AGCTGGTGATGGAGTTCTGTGGTGCCGGCTCCATCACAGATCTGGTGAAGAACACCAAGGGCAACTCGCTGAAGGAAGACTGGATCGCCTACATCTCCCGAGAGATCCTCAGGGTCAGTTATTTCTCACAGTCTGCTGCCAACATCTTCGCTAGATTATATTATTTGTGTCCGAAACATTGCTAAAAGTATGATTTTAAATTATTTAACTTTTGCATTTAAACAAAACAAACACTTTTTTGACCGTCTGATACAGCCCATGTTTCTAATAAGTTGTTTTAATTTTTATTTTATCCCACCAGGGATTAGCTCACCTGCATGCTCATCATGTCATTCACCGCGACATCAAAGGACAAAACGTGCTGCTGACTGAAAACGCTGAAGTCAAGCTGGGTGAGTCAGTTGGCTTTAGACCGGGCCTGTAGACGGGAAGTGCTCCCGCGCTGTGGTTTTGGACCGGTGCATGGAAAAGCGATTGCACCAGCAGATCTGAGTCAGCACTGTGGCGATGCCAACTGGAGCTTTCTCATTGCCAATGTTTTGTTTTCGAATGTTTCAAATGATCGCACAGCTGCAGGCCTGTGTAGTCAAATCCTTATGAAACATACTGTCTATATACAGCTCCAAAATTTGTCTTTATTTAGATTTCTTCTGATTACAGTGTCACAATAATTTCTCGCAACAAAACTACCTAGACATTTGATTTCACTTATGATATGTGCACAAAAAGACAGAAGAATCTGTTCTGAGTTTTGGAGATTTAGTGTCCATTTGTGCTGATCTGTAAATCAGCCTACACAGTGTTTTTAACTTTCAAAGAAAAGTTTTAACTTCTGTATAAAAATCACTTCTTTGTTCACCAAACCTTTGTGTGAAACCACCGATTAATGTTGTTTTTATTCCCTTTAATTATCCATAATTCTATTACAACTTGTAATCAGTCCACCCTGTGTTACCTAGCTTAATAATGTCCCGTGACACAGCATTAAACAAAGTGTCTCCATCGTGGTTAAAATACAGCATCTTGACCTTTTACACTCTGAGGCAGACTCAAGTTAACTTGAGGGGCCCCTCTCGCAGTTGTAGTTTGCCTTGGTGCAGGATCTGAACGGTTTTAGTCTGTTTTCTTTATTTGAATGCTTCGTGTTTCTTTCAGTGGACTTTGGTGTTAGCGCTCAGCTGGACCGGACGGTAGGTCGAAGAAACACCTTCATCGGGACGCCATACTGGATGGCTCCAGAGGTCATCGCGTGTGACGAAAACCCTGATGCTACCTACGATTACAGGGTGAGCATGCAAAACTGCATCTGTCGCAGATGTTAGTGGGATTCATGGTGCAGAATGAGTTTGAAACCAGTCAAATAGGAGCATCATCCATGTGATAGAAAAGATTATAGTTTTAATCATTAATATGACCAATGAGAAGACTGCTCTGTCATTTCCATCACGTGTTACTCAGAGAAGCACACAGACTCTAACTAATCGTATCTCTTTGTGTTTCAGAGTGATCTGTGGTCCTGTGGAATCACAGCCATTGAAATGGCTGAGGGAGCTCCTCGTAAGTACAATACCTGATTGTACTCTAAAATATTTCAATGATATTATGAGTAGAAACTGGTACTTTTACTCTAAACAAATTTACTGGTGTATTTCTGTTTCAAACCTGCATGATCAGAAGAGAACTCTGTTTACTCTGTTAACTGTAGCTTCACTATAGACTTACATTTCCTATCATCTTAAAAAAATCATCTTAAGTGTATGACTTTGACATTTATATTAGGTTTTTTTTCTGATCTCTCATTTGGTTTCTCTTCTGTTGTTTCCTTTAGCTCTGTGTGACATGCATCCAATGAGAGCCCTCTTCCTCATTCCCAGAAACCCACCTCCTCGACTCAAGTCCAAAAAGTGGTGAGATGTTTTCCATCTTTTATTCGTGATATCAGTAAACCCTGCCGATCCGAACTCTGTACATGACGTCTAACTGCCATCATAGGTCAAAGAAGTTCTTCAGCTTCATTGAGAGTTGCCTTGTGAAGAATTACACCCAGCGCCCTCCCACTGAGCAGCTGCTGAAACACCCCTTCATTCGGGACCAGCCCAATGAGAGGCAGGTCCGCATCCAGCTCAAAGACCACATCGACCGAACCAAGAAGAAGAGGGGCGAGAAAGGTGAGTCCAGGACGAAGCTCTGTCAGTGTTAACATGCAAAAATGAACTTATGGATAAAAATCAGAAGCTACTCCCTCAAAAGGACATATTTTGTGTCTTTAAAAAAAAGTACATATATTATGATGAAGGTTTAATGAGAACTTTAATTTTTAGACTTTATTTTTGTTAACTATTTGCAGATGAGACAGAGTATGAATACAGTGGCAGTGAAGAAGAGGAGGAAGAGTCATCTGAGCAAGAAGGAGAGCCAAGGTATCGATCCATCTAACAAAAGAGTTTTACAATTTCCAGTACATAGTTTTAGCTTTTTACTATAAGCTAAACATCATAAAGTGAATTCTGACCATGTTTTTGAAGTCATCTTAGTGATTCCTTTATATTTAGACACATACATATGCACGCTGCACCCTCAGTACTTGTGTAGCTCAAGGTCACATGATTACACCCTTGATATGAAAAGTATTTTATGATGTCATACGGGTCAGTTTCTACATCCTTCTCATCGGGTCATCTGTACAGTTCCATAGTCAACGTGCCGGGGGAGTCGACCCTGCGTCGTGACTTCATACGTCTGCAGCAGGAGAACAAGGAGCGTTCGGAGGCCCTTCGCCGCCAACAGCTCCTCCAGGAGCAGCAGCTCCGTGAGCAGGAGGAGTACAAGCGCCAGCTGCTGGCTGAGAGGCAGAAACGTATCGAGCAGCAGAAGGAGCAGCGGAGACGGCTGGAGGAGGTTGAAACCTCATAACAAATTAATAGAATTTTTATGTTAATTGAGTAGACACAGCGCTGTGGTAAGACTGTGTGTTTAGAAGAGGCGATAGACTGCTGTTTGACTGTTGTGTTCCTGTAATGTAATAATCCAGTGTAACTGGATCTAAAGTGGTGATATCACCAGAACAGAATCCGGCAGGACAACCTAACAAATCCTCATAGATGTTAAAATGCCCAGCTCAACAGCAGAAGTCAGTATATTTACTACCAAAATGTCTCCATAGCTAACTTGCCTGTTTGTGACCACTGCACAGGAGGTTCAGTTTAATGTGAGTCATGTATTTGAGTGAGTTTTAAGGCTGAAAGTTCGGGCCTGACCACACAGTGTCACAGAGTCAGAAAAATGTTGGCAAAATCTGTGAGAAAAAAAAAACCTCCTAAAAGAAAATGAGGGATGTAAATTTGCCTAAACACACAAACAAAAACCATATTTAAAATATGAGTTATTTATTATTAATTAAGCATTTACCCTGGAAGTTTCAATAGGACTAAAAATAACCCTGTTGCAGGGAAAGATTTGAATTATTTATGAAGTTTTGTACACAGAGAGGTTCTCCCATGAAAATGAATGGCATCACTGTTTTTACAAAACTAAATTTTGATGTTTTCTGAAGTTTTCTTAAGTGTTGCTTTCTATATATTTGTTTAAAATACTAAGAAACTGATGTGGCTCGTTGGATGCAGGGAAACTTAATATATTTATTATGCTAAATATATTATTTAGATTATGGATGTATAACATGACTCTGGACTCTCAGGCCCAAGAAAAGGACATTTCTAACCTATTTGACTTCATCTGCTTCTCCAGTAAATCTTGATTTATTTTGACATCATACAAAAATCAAAAGATCAGTCTTAGATTTTATCATGGCAACAATATCCAAAGTACTGCTCACATGTATACTACTTCTTCTTTTGACTACTCCCATTAGAGGATGCTACATCCTCATCCTCAGCCACACAACCCTCTGCTTGTCCACCTTCACTACATCTGTAGACCACCTCTGTGGGTTTTTTTCTCCTTTTCCTCCATTATCCTCTATCCTCCTTCTTCACATGCCCAGACCACCTCAGCCTTTCCTCTCTAACTTTGCCTCTAAACTTCTGAACCTGAGCTGATATAGTCATTTTCACTCACAATGCACATCTTTACATCTTCAACTCTGCCACATTAAGCTTCACCTGCTGTATGTTTGTTAGTGCCACCACCTCCAAAACCATCCATCGTATTTACATTAAATAAAAAAGTTTTAAACTTAATTAAAATAAAACATGTCTTAAATTAAAATAAGTAAACTGTCATGTTTATTGCTGCCTAAAAAAAGTTAAACACATTTGGACAGTGAAGGAATGTCAGGATTCTTGCTCAGAAAAAGGATCAACATGCTCTGAAGTCGGAGCACAAAAACTTTTTTGTAACAAAATATCGATTTCTGCTGTCCCTGTATCGATACATTATTAGCAAACAAAATATCACGATACTACACAGTATCGATTTTTCCCCCACCCCTAGAACCCTGGGGGGTTAGCCAGTTTGTCTGCTGCAGTTAATATGTGTGTACATTATGTTGGTGAGATTAAAATTGTTTTACTCGGGGGGATAGCAGTTAGATTTTGTACTTGATAATTTCATATAATGCTCCAAAATCAATTTTTGACTAGAGTGGGGGAAAAAAGGTTAATTGGTTTCCCCAGAGAGTGAATTTGAACACCTTTGCTGTAATTATCCTATTATCTCTTTAAGCTATAATGACTTTTCTGAACCTGGCTTCATCCTCTGTTCTTACGAAGAGAGAGAAAAATGTTCAGTAACACCGGAGAGGAGTAAAGGAAGTGTAGGGAGGAAAAAAGCTTCAAATAGATGATTATAAATTTGGACACGACTGAACTAAATTCTCTGGAGGAAAAAGAGGAGAGAGCTCTCTATATTTTAAGAGGGACTGGGGAAACAACCCACCCCCACTCACCCAAAAAAAGCAAATTTAAACAGGCTCAAAAATTCACTGAGCACATATAAATGCACTGCACAAGTGTAAGGCCTCTGTGGGAAGAGCGAGAGAAAAAAGTTGTATTTCTGCTCGTGTTTTCCCACTGCACTTACAGCTCAAGGCTCCGTTTTTGATTCATGACGGTGCTTGTGGATGAATCAGACAGCGAGAAGCCACAGTTGAACGCCGGCCACGTCAGTGAAATATCGGCGTACATGTGCTCTCCTGTTCTGCACAGGATCCCCACGTTTGGAAGCTTGAATGCTGAGCGCAGAATCTGTGCAAACACGATGCGTCATCGTACGCAATCCGTGACCTGCAGTCCCGCAGCGTTCACCGCACCCTGTCACAACTCGCTCACAGACAGAAATCAGTGTAATTTCTTCATGTGTCTGCTTAGAGAGCCAATCTTAAACAAAAAACACGCTGCCTGTCAGGCCTGAACTTTCACACTGATTAAGTGTTAATGCAGTCCTTGAAATGTTGTTTTTACTTGTCTGTCCAGCTCATACACCTCCGTAGTATTTATATTTTCTCTGCTCACATAAATAAGACATTTTTGCCACAACCTATACTGATGTCTATCTGTTCAAAAATACTTGCAAACTGAGTTTAAAAGGTCCCCCAAACCCCCAAATCAAAAAACAAAACAACACAATTTGGATCGCTGTTAAAATCCTAACTCTGAGCCACACTGGTAGAGCTGTGTAAATCTTTGACAGCTGTGAATAAAATAGAGATGACCTGCAACATAGTGCATTCCAAATTAATCTATAACTCATCCTGTTTTGACCCCAGCAGGGTTAAAATTCATCCTTGATGGCCTCTAAAAAGTTTCAGATTGCTCTTCTGTCAAATTCATGGTTTTATCTTTTTATATCTGTGTGATAGAGAAATCTTAACATAGCTGAACTCAGAAAATGATTGAAAATTGATTCTCTTGAGCCTCTTGATTGTTTTGCTTTGAAGGTGTAACTTCTATAAGCAGCCTTCACTATTGGTGTGATGAAGCAGAGACACTTCTGGAGTCCCATCACAGTGACACCGCAGACTTTATCTAAAACATGAAGATTATCCACTAACCCATTGGTTTGCCTTAGATTAAGCCAAACGATGCTGTAATGTTGGGCCTTTTAGCATAGGAGTGTTTGAGGTTGAGTGTGGCAAAAAAACACTTTTATACACTTTTAGAGCGGCTTCATTTTTCTGCCCCAGACGCTGCCACTCGAGTGGCACCGAAGGCAGTTATCGTTATGGAGGAAAATTCAGAGCAATAACGATGTGCGCTATACAGCAGTGTGCTGAATGTTTGAACAGGGTTTTAACCGTTTCGTGTGAGTCGCACACTTTGTGGTCTCACGTTGCTTCTCTTACCAATCCAGGTCAAATTAAAATATTAATACTGTGCCAGTCATGCAGATTCTAGTTCAGCACTGATTAGGAAACACGAGGTCAGTGTCTCGTATGACTTGACAAAAATCAGAACTAGGACGATGAGCAGTTTTTTGCTTCTTTTTTTTTTAAAACTCCTCCAGCAACAACGACGTGAGCGCGAGATGAGGAGGCAGCAGGAGCGTGAGCAGCGCCGGCGCGAGCAGGAGGAGAAGAGGCGCGTCGAAGAGATGGAACGGCGCCGCAAAGAAGAGGAGGAGCGCAGGAGGGCCGAGGAGGAAAAGAGGAGGGCCGACCGCGAGCAGGTAGGAGGGAATCGACTGGGCGAGACTCTGAAAGATTTGTTTTATCAACTTTAATTAGGATTTGGATTTATTTGGATGAACTTTTAAACCTACCTTTCTGATATTTAACTAATGGCTGTGGACCCTGATTGACAGGAGTATATACGTCGACAGCTGGAGGAGGAGCAGAGGCACCTGGAGATCCTGCAACAGCAGCTCCTCCATGAACAGGCCATGCTTCTGGTGAGTCACATTCAACTTCATTTTTCCCCCTTTTATCATTTAAAAAAAATCTAAATGAGCTTAATGCTGTTTCTGCTTTCATGGACCAAGTGGTTTTAATGTTTCTGCAGCTCCCAGGTTGTTAAATTTCCTAACGCAGGTACTTTATTCCTCCGTTACATGAGTTTTCCTGAGTCCATTTGCCTTCTGTGCTAAACTTCATCAAGTTTTTAGGAATAACTTTTGACTTTAGTGAAGCCGAGGGGAGCCGTTAACGGTTGAGGTCAGAGTATAATGAGCGTTCTCAGATTTTGCCGGGGAAATCAGGATGTTTACGAGCCTCTCAGTGAAGGTGATGTCATCAGCAGGAAACTAGTCATCCTACGGAAAGAGAGGGCTTCCCCTCTTCCAGATGTTAAAGGGTCAGGGGAGGCGATACTGATACTCAAACCATGTTGTTATTTTCTTTTTCTTTTTAAAGGATTCTGTTCCTCTTGGGGTTTGGAGCGGATATTCACATAATAAAAGGATATGACCGTTAACATCCTCACTTCCAGTTTCAACCATTACTTAATCTCTGACCATGTGGTTCCTGCATAGTCACCATTCATAAACTCATGCAAAAAACAAGCTGACTTCTATTTAAACTGTGAAACATTTTACTTTGAGCTGTATTATAGGGATGAATGTTACATGTTTGAATTAACAACCTATAATTAGATGGAGCCTCTGGCAATGGGCACAACTGTCCCACTGCATAAAACTGTATTAATGCTTCACTGGTTTAATTGCTTTTCACCACAGCGGTCTAACAGGGCGTGCAGTTGGACATTTTTTAGTTTGGTTGGTTTAGTTTTTTTGTTTTGTTTTGTTTTGTTTTTTGAGACTGCAGGAAAATCATTAGGGTGAGGAGTAAGATTGAAGAGGGTTGAACAGTTTGTTTACATTTCAGAGTCTCCTCCCCTTTAAATTCTCCACTAAAGCCTGACTTAGCCTGAAACTCAATGTTTTAACAGAGCACATTTATATACAGTCAAATCACACTGTGAGTTGAATTAGCAATGTTTCAGTCATAAAGGGTGCATTTAACATTTTTAGGACCTGAGACACTCAGCCTTATAGAAACTAGAATATAAAGCTGTGTGCCGTGTTTGTTAACAGCTGTGATGTCATTGCTCACAGTTACAGGATATATATTAAATATAAATATATCCTTAT